CCCCTCTATCGTGAGTAGTTGTACAAGAATGCCATTTTGCAAAAACACCGAAATCACTTAAATGAATAGTTGAATTAATAAAACTCTTTTTGCTTTCATATTGCGTAGCTATCTCGAGAGATATGTTTTCTACAGCCTAATGACTTTTACTCTCTTATTATTTTCAAACCGATAACCAAACAAATAGTTCACGCTTATATCACTTTAGGATTAAATCTAACATAACTATAAGTGTATTATTGGCCAAGAGTGAGTTCTAATATACATTACTAGGTCATTTAGTCGTATACAAAGTCTTGTCGTATTGTTTTGAGACCGGTGGATATAAAAACCGATCATAATAACAGAGCACACAACTCGCCTACCTGAAATCGGGGTACCCCGCGTCCTTTTCCAGCTTGTAGAGACGTCAATTTTCGAGGCTCCATCGTTCTGAAGGGCTCATTTTAAAGGGGAAGCTTCAAAGAATATGAGCATATTTTTTTTTAATTTTAACCCTTTACGTCCCTCATTGAGAAAAACGCAAAAAAGAATTTGTTTAAATTTTTCAACATTTTATAACAAATTGACAAAGTTAAAAAAAATATTTTAAAATAGCCCAAACCTTCACGAATAAAAAAAAAAAATTTAGCTAAATCGGTTCAGTAGTTTTTGAGAAAAAAATTCCCAAGTGGACCCCATTTTCGCCAAAACAGGCAAAAATTGCAAACTTTGACGGCTTGTCATTCATTAACAAATTCGAAACCGGCAAAATGATGACTTAAACGCCCCCTAATTTCACATGGACTGCAACATATTTCGATTAGAGCAAAATCGGAGATGGTGACTTCCAAAAGTGATCGATTTGGCGTAGAATGACCCCAGTGTATTACAAAACATTTATAATAACCATGTATAATTAACTATGTTTCAATTAATGAATGTTTTTATATCTGATATAATTTAGAATAAAAGATTTATTTTAAATAATGTGTAAATGTTATTACTTTACGTACCGTGGATTACTAATGACTTCAGGATTGTAAAATTGTTCAAGCAATGAATTTAACAACCGCCTATCCTTATCATCTGTTACACGACCTCCATAATTGCATTCACCTGTTAAATAAAGAAGTGCTTCAAACGGCACTTCCTCATACTCATTTAAGAAAATCTGAAACATACAATACTTGTAGAAAACACTGTGACTCTTAAAAAGCACGTTTTCCATTTTCAAATTTCCAATTCTCTAGTTTACGAATCTATACATATATACTTAAATGTCAGAAACTTCGAATTTCAGAACAAATTAATTATCAAGGTTTCGTCAAATCTTACCTGTAATTGCAAAATACTGATACGTAAGTCTGACTCATTGAATTCATAGGGAATATTCCACCCTAATGGTCCAAAATTACGTCTCTCTTGCACAACAGCGTGAAAGAAACATAAAGCAAAAAGGAGACTTCTCCATTCGATTATTTTATTACAATTCTGATAGAACTTTGCATCTGATATTGGATCATTTAAATAGCTTCTCAGTAAATTATTTTTTAAACCTTTCGGAGGCTCGTTGGTCATTTTAACTCCATTTTGCAGAATAGAGATTGGAAAATGCTCTGACGGGTAACTAGTTAACCATAATCGAAATTTTGGATGTGTGTTTTCAGGTATGATTATTTCATCGCAAATTCTATCCAACTCCTTCATCCAGGATACCGCTAAGTGACAATTTTGAAGCACCACCCATTCTCCGCTCTTTATTCCTCTATCAATCATGCCTGCTGCTATGGGACCTTGACCTTGTCCCAGTGAAATGGTCATAAGATCCCTCTTTGACATTCCATAATCCTCTGAGAATCTTATCAATCCGGCCATGGGATCTGACCCGGGTGAAAGAACGAAGATCAAAGGAGTCACGTTGTTAGAATCATTATAACACGCCTCAAGATCAAATGGCGGAGGTTCTACGAAAGACCGTCCCATATTGTGTATAATGAACATCCTCACAGCAGCCACAATTTTGTCTGGTCTTACGCATTTAAGTATCACCAACTTTTTCAAACTTTCACTTTCCTGTTGAAATGGATGCGGAAACGGATTTTCCTGAGGATTAGACAAGTCGTAATAAAGCTTCCATTGCGAAGTCTGCGTTTCAACAGAATGTTTAAACTTCTCGAGTTCAGTTAAATTGCTAGCCCTCACTATTTCGGACCAAGACCTGTCGGTCAACCAAGATGGATCAGGATTAGGATAAGGATTATCCAAAGCTACATCACCTGCCAACAGAAATACCCAGTGATCTTCGTTTATATTTCCTTCAGCTCGCATTAAACCGATACATAGAACTAGTGAGAAAATTATTTTATCTTTTTCAAATAAGGAACGACATACGTTCCTGTAAATACTGGCTGTGAAATACGTGTTCAAACTTTTGATCCGATCAGTCAGAACTTTGTTTTGTTCGCTATTAGCTATGGACATCTCGTAAAGATGAATGAACCACGGTAAAGAATATTGATACATAGGGTCGATGTTAGTCAATTCAGAAATACAGAAAAACAAAACAGAACCGTGTTCTGACACAGGTTTGTATCCGTTACGAGCGTTATCGATTTCAATTGACGTTTTAACAGCCACCTCCTGCTTCGCCTGTATGTCCTCCGACAGAGTCTTCGAGCTGGACAATATCGTAATAGCCGTCTCGTCTTCGAGAATGTTACCTTCCGACGCGGACAAAACGTGCAAGATCATGTCCTCTATCTCCTTTAACATCTTCTGGTTGTTCGCACCCTCGATTATTAGTTGGTTCTTTCGTTCTTCAAGAACGGGCAACTCTTTGGCCACTACGATGCCCAGCAACTGATCCTGAAGCCCCTGTGGAGTGATCATGAAGTTTAATAGAGTCACCTTAACGACCACCTCTGGCAAATAATGTGGATTCCTCAAACGTGTCGTCATGTAAAATTGGAAGTTCTCATTGTACTCTATAACGTTCTCTCCAAACTTGATATATAAGACACCGCGTTCTTTATAAATGTTTTTAAGAAGTACAGGTTCTAATATAGCATCTATTTCCTCCATAATATTTTCTAGTAAAACTGGTATCCCAAGTTGTATACAAGTGTCTACTACTTGAACATAATTAGGATCAGAAAGTTTAATAACAACCAACTTGTTCTGCTTCTCCATGTTCTTGATCCACTTATTAGCCTGATTCTGTGGATCGATCATCAATGGCCACCTATCGGCATTTTTAACGATTATACCATTCTCCACAGAAAAGCTGTCTGCTGGTAAACCATAGATAATCCATGCTCTGATTTCAACCTGTTCACCTAAGATATCTATCAAGTTAAATCTCTCTCCACATGGTATTCTGACCTCCGAACAGGACAAGTGCCACTCCGTTACCAACTTCTTTCTATACTCTACCGTAAACGCTCCCAAATAAGCAACTACTGCTGAAGACAATAAAACGTCTCCTATAACGTTATGTAGACTAGCACCTAACATGGCAGCTGTTGCGCTCCATCGGTCTTTTTCCCCGCTCAAACCACCCAGCAATTTTTCCGCTCTGTCCAACTTTTTCTTACAATAATCGATCTGATCTTCTAACTTCTTTTTCTCCCGCATGCACTCAGCGAACTCATCGTTCAGGGACTGCAGTTTCTGAGAGACCTCTTGCAGAAGAGCCCTTTTGGCGTTCAATGCCTCCATCTGAGCTGCCAAGGCGGCTTCTGCTTCTGCTAACATCGCCTGTTTCGGAGCGACAACCTTGATGACCCGGTCGTAGACCTCGATGGCGCGCACCCATTTACACAAACCCTCGCAAGCAGTAGAAACCTTCTTAATGGCTTCAGGCTGGAAGCTTCTATCGTTTATAAACTTCTCGCGAATCCTCTTCATATACGCTGGCGGTATGTTGTCCTTGTCGAAATTCTTCAGGCTGTCGAGGAATCTCATGTCGCCAAGGATCTTTATAGAGGCGGGCCAGTAGTCCTCCGTCATGAGACCAGTTGCTGGATCCTGAACTCTTTCTGGTTTAACTCCTTTTAGAACACAGACAGCTTCCATTACCAAACGTACACCTGCAGGAGGACTCTTCATGGACCGCACGATGCTGATGTCCGCAGGTTTTAAGGTGTCAAGGGCCACCAAGGCGGCTTCCAACGCAGGAGTAGCTTCAGCTAAATCGCTTTCGCAATCGTCTTTTATTGCTTGAGCAGCTGCGGCTGCTTCATTCGCTAAAGCTTCTTCGGCTGCTACGACTTCCTTCCTTGCTTCTATGTTGATGGTATCCTGCTCTATTCGAATCATAAGCTTATTGCTAAGTTCAGACTGCGCTAACAACTTTGGTTGCAAGGCCTGCAGCTCTTCCTTCATTACTGCTATCTGTCCTGCTGCGAAGTCCAGCTTCTCTAATCCTGTCAAGTAACGCATCTGTTGCTGCGTAATTTCTTCGATCTTCTGGTCATATAATTTGCAGAATGATTTTATTAACTGCAGGAAGCTTGTAGGTGTCACGTAATATCTGCGACCTTGCATCTTGTAATAATCTTCGCTAGCATTTACAATGCTCATGTGGAACTGTTTCGACAGGAGGACGCAGTTTTTTCGAAGGGTTTCGTCAATGTTAACATTTTGCAAAAACATTTGAGCTACTTTTTCTAATGCATCTTCTGGCCAGACAGTATACCAGTCTATGGTGCAGCAGTTTATCAGGGAAGGGAACATCCTCAAACGGTTTCTAAATTTGTCCCCTATAGGAGACATCGTCAGGATCAGATGAAGGCTCTTTTTTATTCTTTCAAGGAATAAGTTGTAAAGGATCGTTGGTGTAGTCTCAGCTCTCTTCCCTTCTGTCGCTTGCATCACGCTCATCATTTTCTCCAAAATCGCAGCCTTCTCTTCCGTATTGTACAAGTTTGGTATGTCAGCCGTATTTAGGATCATATTTATGTCTTCAATAAAGGATTCGCTTTTTATTTGATAATCGCCGAAGAGAAAGACTGTGGATTTTCCATCGCATCCCACGCGGAGCAACAAATTTTTCATGTCTTCGCGCCATTCCGGGAATTCGTAGGATGTTGATATTTCGATTTGGTACATTACGTACTCGCACATATTGCTCGCCAATTTGGCACAAGAACTTCTGCCAGATCCTCCCATTCCTATCAAAAGAGCGTGGCCATTTTCTTGTAAAAGAATTCGTGATATACGAGATATATGTTCGATGGCGTATCGAAACAAAACCAAAGACATCGGTGTCTTCGACAACATGTTGTATTCCATCAAGTAGTAATCCATTTTCGTTTGCAGATCTTCTAAATCGATCACTTCATCGTATATTTTGGGATCAGCATCGGGTTCTATGTAATTACCGAAGAACAGATCGCGTATATGAGAACTTCGAATTGCTTTCTCCTCTTCCCCTAACAACCTGGCGAGTACTTTCTCCAATGGTTGTCGCAACTGGTCGTAGCAGGTATATCGAACCATTTCAAACAACATCTCCTGGTCATTGCTGTCAATCAGCCGATCATGAAAGACCCTGTATACTTCGTGAACCCAAAGTCTGATCAATTTATCAGGATTGTCCATTCTGGAGGCTGGTACTAAAAGTATACCCTTAATGACTCGACTAAAATCACGCAAATTAAAGATATAGTGACTTCTGGCCGGAGTAGGTAGGAAGGTCTTTATAGCACCAAGAAATACATCCATAGTGGCGGTCACCACCATCTTTCCTAGTCTAGAAACTTCTGGAATAAATCCTTTGCCAAAGTGTGTTTCGAGAATCGACGAGAAAATTTTGGTCATTGTGGCTTCCTCGAAAAAATCTATACCGATTACGTGCATATGCCGAGTTAGTCTAGGTGTGACTACATTTGAACCACCTCCAGGTGGTTGCATTGCACAAACCAAGAACATATCCACTAGATACAACATTGTGGTATCTTTGATATCGAACCAATAACCATGATCTAACCACTGTCGAATCAGTTCGATCGGTGGTTGTGCACCATACATTTCTTTCTGTGGCATACTTAAATCATCGACGAACAGTACACACTTTTTCCCCATTGGTGGTCCATAAACCCCTTTTCTTCGACGGTCTAACTTCGACATCACTATTTCTTGAGTTTGCGCAGCACTCGTACGGGCACTGAAGTTTACTACGTTCTCCATATACGTTTCTCTGGGTAGCGATTCTAGGTGATCTAAAACAATCACTGACTTTCCTGTACCAGTTGGTCCCACGAATAAAATGGGTATTTTTACATGAAGAAGATTCTTTATGAAAAAATGCTGTATTACTACTTCGGTCGTTGGTATAATTAGTTGATTATCTTTTAATTCTGGCAATAAAGATGCCTGAAATATTAAGATACAAAATAAGTTTTTAAATTATTTATCTAATTCCTCTAACTGATACTAATTGCAGAATTATAGAACAATGTTTTAATCCTTCAAAAATACCTGAAATGTTGGGTCCATCCAAGCTATCCAGCATCCATTATTTCTTTTATCATATATCCAATCATAAACAGTACCTTTATCAGGAAACAATTGTTGCTTGGTTAATTTAAATGCTTTTGGTTTAGGATACATTTCGTCGTTTCCAAGTACTAGCTTTCTAAAATAAACATCAAAAGTCTTTCTGCTATCGCTCGTTAATGTCGAACACATTCCCCAAACTATACTGAACAGTAAAATACATTGAAGCCACACTGTGCTGACTTGTGTTTCTTCGTCTAGCATTGTAGTAAGAAGTCTTGTGAAGGACTGGAACATGTGTAGTTCTGGCATTTCAATGAACGTTTTACAGTAATGTTTCACAAAGAACAGAGTAGGCATCGTCAGCCATTCAACTAGTTCTATGACGAGTTCATACTGTTCAATAAGTAATTTCTTTTTCAAATACTTTTTATAGGAATCAAATAACGGCATCCAACCAAGCTGAGATGGTTCCATATAAATCATTCCACATCTGCTAACAGTGGCCGGAGAAGCGTGTTCCAAATCAGCTGGCTCAAACATCATATTCATTTTAGACGACATCTGTATGATCTCTCCCGACATCAGACATAATTTCTTGTTATCATCGAGTACAGTATTCATGCTTTCAATCCACACCGCGTCAACAGGTCCATCAAATACAATCCATTTGCGTTCGATCGATATTGATTGCGCGAATTCCCTGAAAATGTTAGCCAAAACTCCGTCGTTCCATTCGTGTGACAGTGGATCAAAATTGCCGTAAAGTTGATCCAATGTAATTGCTTTTGGATTAATTATCTTATAAATGGTAGGATATTCCCTCATGGTAGCTCGCCGTATACCAGCCAAATCGCCCAAAGCTTCAGCCAGACTTTGATATGCCTTTGTTTTTCCACTTAACGTATGTCCAACGACCATCAAACCATGACGTACTAAAATCATCTCGTAGATTTGGATAATCTTCTCCATATACCACGGTGTATCTTGTAAATTACGTTTCTCTAACGTGACTCTCAATAAGTTAATCAATTCATCACGATCTGGTTTTGGTAAACTGATACCTGGAAACAGATCTGTATAGATTCCATTAAACAGTGGAATGTCCTGTGCCAAGAATTTCGGCAAATTAACATCTATAATAGCTCGTAGAATTAAAATAAATTCGTTTTCTGTTGGATATTTTAACTTCAAGTTTCCAGCTGCAGTGAGCACAGTTTTCACAGCTCGCATACCGTAATCGTAATGATTCTGTGAGCTCAATTGCTCAGAACATAACTTATAAGTGTGAACTATCTTCTCTGCAAGATTTTTGGCGTCGATAAAACCGAAGGAATACAAAGTAATCTCCCCAATCATGGCGTAATCCGGTACCATCATCGCTACTGTGCGGAAAAGGACTTTCAAATTATCAGGAAGCTCTTGACGTCCAGCATAACCAGGATTCATTGTTATAATGATGTAGCAAGTGGGATTTAACTTTATTTCGGTACCTTCGAATAGGAATTTCTCTAAATTCGCGCTTATAGCCATTTGAATGGACAGAATTTGTTGGGCAATCACCGAGAGAACCTCCAATTCAATTCTGTTGAATTCGTCAAAGCAGGCCCATGCCCCAGACTGGGCGAGACCCTTGAAGAATTTACCCATTGCCATGTAATCAAGCCCGTCTGAACAGTTGAAGACAATACATTGTTTAGCAACAGCTTTTGCTAAATCTTTCGCCGTTTCTGTTTTACCAGTTCCCGCTGGACCTTCTGGCGAACCTCCTAAGTTTAATTTCAACGCACTCATCAACGTTCTATAACATCTATCCGTTAAAGGTGTTATCACCAATCTTGACGTATTACCAAGATATTCAAAAGCGTATGCTACGTTAGTTGTGATTATCGATACAATGATACTGTTGTCCAACCAATAATATCTTAATTGTGATATCCAATTAAAGTCCATAACATCAGCCACGTTCTTTTCAACTAGTAGCTTTACTACGTCTCGGGCGTGCACGTCCATTACAATTAAAGCGTTGATCGTTATTCTTGCACCTGGGTCCAGTTTACCTCTTACTAAAGTAACAGTGGTTTCGATCTGTTGACTACATTTCTGTAAATAATCAGGAGTAGAGTTGTCCTCAAATGTCTCACAAACTTCGCTCGTCCAGTGTATTTGGCTAACGCAAATGACAATCTGACTGGGCCAACTGAGTATCCACTCTTCCCTAATAGCAGTAAAATACGCAATAATACTTTCTTCGGCAATATCACGAAGAGAAGCTACCATGAGTTGCTCAACCTGACACAGCCATCGTTCGACCAAACCTTTTGCGTCCGCTGGAAAAATCTTGCCACTGAACGGGACGTATTCTTCTTCGTCAGAGAACATTCCTATGATTTCTTGTTCCACGGTAAACCGTAGTTTGCTAATGCCCTCGAAACATTTCTTCAAATGAGGTTGTACTCTCTGGGCATCTTTAGTCTCGGACAATATTTCTAGAAGCTCGTCGTTCGATAAGAAAAAGAATCTCGGGAAGAATAAACGTTTCTTTTCAAGATAGTCGTTCAAACCTTTTTGTATCTCGTCAAGTAGCGTATTACACAGTGTCAACTCCTGCAGCATATTTTTCATGTCGGTGGCATCCAGCACTCGCTTATTAGCAACAGCGTACGTCATGATGGCTCGCCAGATCTTGTCCATCCTTCGGAAATTGTTCGCTTCCGTCGGCATTTGTCTCATAATATCTTCACTACTAAATATTGGTTCCAAATACATCCACGTGGACTGACACACTAACCACTGATCAATGATGTCCTGCATCAACAGCAACTTATTCTCCCAACCTTGCATATCGTCCTCGAACGCCTTCACAAAAGGAGAACTCCTCATCGTTTGCGCTTTCAGGATGTGGTCATCCAGGAGCAATTGAATATCGTCTATGGAGGTTAAAATAAAGACACCTGTTTCACGATATGGCATGAAATTAAATTCAATGTCAGACCATTCGTCTTTCATCTTCTGTAGATTTTGCTGAAGAGCATGTTCCTTAACGGCAGCTGATGATATCTCTTCAAGTTTGCTTATGTGGATTAACAATCCCAATTCTATCATATTGGACAAACTAGTCGTTTCTGTCGGTGTTACGTCTATGTTAACCAATTCGCTCATTTGTTTCCAGTGTCGTTGTTCTAATCCAGGCGTGCATATAATCAGCAATAGGGGGACAAATTGTTTGAACTTTTCGACTTTTCCACGCATCATTTCGGTAACTCTTCGAGCACCCGGAATGTCGGCGACCAAACGTGCCACTCTGTACAACGTTCGCCAAGTGTTATCTGTTTCTTCTTTAATCTCGTCAGCGTCCAAACCCAAGAATGGACCGTTAAACCATTTATCATGGTTCCGTTGGAAATTCTGCACCGTATGCCAAAGAGTGTCAAGAGTGTTCACTATGGAAGACATGCCAGAAATCGTCAAGTACGGACTCAGTTCCATATCCAAAAGAGCTTCTTCTTCGTTTATCTCTTCAGCTTCTTTTCGAATTTCCTCCATTCCTTTGGAAAGGTGTTCGATCTCTTCAACTGCGACGTCTACTTCATCTGCGGTTAGAACGGGTGGATCTATCTTCTTAAATTGATCAATTGCAAACTGCATGTGCTGTATTTTTTGCTCAAAGCTATCCCTTCTTGCACGTAACAAATCCTCTAAGAACTGTTTCCTCATGTTTAATCTGGTGTTAGCTAATTCCATCACGGTCTCCATTTCTTTTGGCCATGTTATAGTACGAGTATTTAATTGAATGTCATCTGATGTTGGTGGCTGATAATCAAATAGGAATAAAATCAACTCTACAGAAAATGATAGTTTTTGTTTCATGTTGAACATGGTCGTGTCACGACTTTCGCAGAGATAGTTGTATAATGCAACAACGTCTGGGGTTTTCTCTGGCATTTTTGAAATGTTCTCAGCTATCGTGTCGAAACTGGAACACAACTCGCGGTTATTAGATCGCAACTGAGTCGCAAAGAAATCACAGATTTCGGTTCGAAGTTCGTACAAGATTTGCCTCAGAGTATTATTTACAGTGCTGCAATCAAGTTCTATCATATTGAGCGAAATCTATTATAAAATTACCATTAATGTTTTTCTTATCGAGTTTTAATGTGATTCTGAAATAATCTGACGTTTACCTTATTGCGGAACATAATAATTTCTTGTCTGATATCATCGTAATTTCTTATTTTTTGTTCGAATTCACGAAGAAATGGTGGCGGTTCAATCCTAAAGAAATCGTCTAAACCTTTTTTGGCTTGACCACTGACAATATACAGTAAATTTTCATAACATTTTAAATAAATCTGTGGACCCTCAGTATGAACACTGACAATATCTAATACAGTATTAATTATTTTGTATACCTATGATATTTATTTAACAATTATTTTTTAAAAATAAACAAAATCATTTAAACTAATGATATATGATAAAATAACTAATCTTAAAACCTTACAATAATATTACAAGATTTATATCGCATTTACCACATCTTCGTATCGTGAAACAGAAGACAAATATTCTTGTTTTCGTAATTCAGGAAACAGAATTGTTTCTATTTTTGGAATCAGTGTTGTGACTGTAATAATTTTATCGAAGCATTTTGAAATGATTTCACGAACTTCAGAAATACTCGGTCTACAATGTAAATTTTCCGTGCCTAATTCTGCTTCCACTGTTATTGTCATAAAAGGTGTTCTACAATATAATTGTACTACACATTACTTTATATGGGAAACCAGAAGAAACATAAGAAAGCAAATTTGCTTACTTTAAAAACATGAGATCCTTATAATTACCCTTGAAATAATTACCACTACTGTATTCCATAAAAAAATCTTGTATATGTGTGAGCGTTTTCATCACAACCATTCGTAAATGCTTAGATAAAAGTGTGTTTATGCTTCGAAAATATTTTTCAATTAACACAGTAGATGCATTATAATGTTCTTGCACATAACAAGACCAAACATGCTTTTTTTCCAAGATAATATCTGCAATATCAGCTAGCCATTCATTGATAAGCAAATGCATTGCCTTATCACATAAATGATTTATTCTAGGTTCTACTTCAAATGCAGGTATAGGAATTGTTCCTATATCTTGAATATTAATTATCATCACATTTTGATATCTGCAAAATAACATAGGAATCTATAGATTTACTTAAGGATATAGAAATATAAACATAATCTCAAAAAGGGAATGTAGTATTTGTGGAAATTACTTTAAAAAATACAGATCTTGAATATTCCTCAATATCTCATTTCCGATAAATAGATTATGTTGCATAAAGTGGTTTGCTGTAAGTTTGAATTGATGCCAAGGTATGGGTGCTCGTATATGTAAAATTGAATATTCGACCCATGATGTCACGAGAAACTGTTTATAACCTTCGACGATCTCAGACTCAAGTTTGGTAAGCTGTTCATTAAAACTGAAACAGAATATTTCAACTAAAAGTTATTATAACATATTTGGTATAAGCTAAATAAACTATTTAAAGTTATAGATTTTTAAAAAAGGTGCAGAATATGCGCGACAAGTATCGATAGTCTCGATACTTAGTGCAAGTATGGTGGTTTTTTCAAATATCGCGTAAACTATGCATTAATGGATGGGTGCACACAAAAAATATATTTTTAGTAGAAACGAACATTTTCATTGAACAGTTTATAGCAAATAGGTGTCGACAAGACTACAACATCTTTACATGTTGAAATTAAGGGTTGCTTAAACATGACCTTACTCTTCCCGTTTGCGAAGCTTTCCAGTAATACGTTTTCTTGCTCCTTCAAGATTGCTACGGTCGTAATAATCTGAACCATCGTCACGAACACAATAATTTTTTAAATATATTGATTTACTATGGTCTTTGTTTATAACAAATTGCTTTTGCTGCTTATTAATTGCTTCCAACAAAATACTTATTTGTTCTTCTATAGATTTTGGAATTTCTGCTTCATTTATATAAACAATCTGAAATATTTTTTTTTTAATATTATTAATTTTTAAATTAATCTGTCATTATTATTCTTGTTCATTGCTTTCAATATTAGTAATAAATAAAATTATTTTACTTTTCTTTTTGATGACTTCATCTCTTGCTTAGTTTTCTTTAATTTTTTTATTTTTCTATACATTTGACATGTTTTTGCGAGTTTCATACAAGATTTTCTCCACAACCATGTACCATCAGATAAATCTTTCAAGCAGATTATACTACTTGGCAAAAAATCTATAGAATGTTTTAGAGTTTCTTGTTGTGCGTTAGTTATACATTTCTTAACATAATTCTGAGATAAGTCAAAAAGTTCTTGTTTACAAACAGAACTACATTGCAAATTCCTTTTTTGTTTCATTGAACTTTTTACATGATGTATCGTACATTTACTTTCATTGTCCTCCAAGAATTTCTCATGTCTATATAATTGTTTACATGATGCGATTTCAGTCTGCGAATAATCTCTTAATATCCTTTGTGCTTTTGCCAATTGTTGAGACAGTGAAGATTCCACTGATAATTTTTCTGTAAATTTGGGTATCGATTCACATGGTATGTCAATAAAACTGTCAGAACATTTCTCTTTCTCGTCATTGCTCTATAATTCATTATTTAAACAATATTATTTATACAGCATATATAGCAGCATCTGTATTATAACAAATTCATTAAAATGCTAAATAACCAGCAAACAATAATATTTCTTGTGAAAAAATACTTAATTTAGTTGAGTAACATTTAATATAGTACTCATTATACAAAATAACAAACAGTTGTTATATTTAAAATGAAATAAATTACCTTCATTTAATGAAATCTGCACTGAATGTAAATAATATCTTGAAGCAGAGAAAAGATGGTTATACATAAGTATAAACAAGAATGCAACTATAGCAACAGTAATAGATAACAGTAATTTTATTAGACTTTTGTGAATTTCTTGTATTATACATAAGACTGTAATAATAATGTTTAAAGCTTTATTATAATTTATACTTTCATAATTAAAATTTCTTACACATATTTGTACAATTTTACAATGTACAATTTTATTGTACAATGTACAATTTTATTATTCAAATTAAAAAAATTAATGTATCAAATATTCTTTTCTAATTTCAAATAGATTATGGTTAACAAATTGTTGATATATCTTTTATTTTTTTTTAATTACAATTTTGCTATAATGTTTTAAAAATATTAAAAATTAATTTTAAACACATATTTTATCTGTTTCCCTTTTTGCTCTATTATTGCTTATTAAGTTTAAAAGCTTACCTTACTCTTAGGAACTAGTGTAACTGCAGTATACAAAACATTTATAAATTATTTCTTAACATAATTCTGAGATAAGTCAAAAAGTTCTTGTTTACAAACAGAACTACATTGCAAATTCCTTTTTTGTTTCATTGAACTTTTTACATGATGTATCGTACATTTACTTTCATTGTCCTCCAAGAATTTCTCATGTCTATATAATTGTTTACATGATGCGATTTCAGTCTGCGAATAATCTCTTAATATCCTTTGTGCTTTTGCCAATTGTTGAGACAGTGAAGATTCCACTGATAATTTTTCTGTAAATTTGGGTATCGATTCACATGGTATGTCAATAAAACTGTCAGAACATTTCTCTTTCTCGTCATTGCTCTATAATTCATTATTTAAACAATATTATTTATACAGCATATATAGCAGCATCTGTATTATAACAAATTCATTAAAATGCTAAATAACCAGCAAACAATAATATTTCTTGTGAAAAAATACTTAATTTAGTTGAGTAACATTTAATATAGTACTCATTATACAAAATAACAAACAGTTGTTATATTTAAAATGAAATAAATTACCTTCATTTAATGAAATCTGCACTGAATGTAAATAATATCTTGAAGCAGAGAAAAGATGGTTATACATAAGTATAAACAAGAATGCAACTATAGCAACAGTAATAGATAACAGTAATTTTATTAGACTTTTGTGAATTTCTTGTATTATACATAAGACTGTAATAATAATGTTTAAAGCTTTATTATAATTTATACTTTCATAATTAAAATTTCTTACACATATTTGTACAATTTTACAATGTACAATTTTATTGTACAATGTACAATTTTATTATTCAAATTAAAAAAATTAATGTATCAAATATTCTTTTCTAATTTCAAATAGATTATGGTTAACAAATTGTTGATATATCTTTTATTTTTTTTTAATTACAATTTTGCTATAATGTTTTAAAAATATTAAAAATTAATTTTAAACACATATTTTATCTGTTTCCCTTTTTGCTCTATTATTGCTTATTAAGTTTAAAAGCTTACCTTACTCTTAGGAACTAGTGTAACTGCAGTATACAAAACATTTATAAATTAAGATGTACATACATATATATATATGTATATATATATATATATATATATATACACACACACAATCTTATATTTTTATATTTATTCGTAAAGAGAATGCAAAATTCAAAATGTGTAATATAAAAAATTGTAACTTTATTGATGTTACTATCGACAACTTAGGTTAATAAAAAGTAGTATATTAAATTTTACATGTTTCAGCATAGTTGTGCTTCTAATTGTATCCAATAAAATTTGTAAGAAAGTTTATATGTGGAAAATTGTTAAACCGCTAAACAATATCAAAATAAATCATCATTGAGTTAAATATTAATTACTGTAATACTATTTGTTGTGTCATTAGTACTGATTGTATTATGAACAACTTATAATAATATTATATTATATAATTAGTATGTTATAAATTTTGTAATGACTTAGAATTAATTCACAACTGTCAGTCCGTGCATTATATGATTTACATCCTTGCTTAGCAAAAACCTGAAAGTGTTCAAATTGTATATAAAAAGAAAAAATAATTTAGAAGCAATGAAATATGTTTAAAAATATTACCATGTAAAATTAATAAATAAGTACAATAAAGTACAGCATTTCAGCATGTATTGTAATCAGTGTCATCTTGGTCGGATGTTACAAAAAATCCAACTAGAGTTAAATATACAACAACATTACCTGCTAAAGTTAAATAGCAAGTACTTGGTTGTATCTGAAAATATGTTTTAAATACATAAAATGAATTATGATCAATATGTATATGAATTTTCAATAAAAAATATAACACAACAATTAAACAAAAAGATCATACCACTGGATCATTAGCTGGTGATCTTGCTAAGACAATTGGAAGCGCAAAGGATGATACAACAAAACCCATAGTAATGAATATAGCCAATTCCAAACATGGATTAGAATTATTTCCATAATCATCTGTATATCGACGAGCAATTATAGTTGGAATTGGTGCCAATATATAGAATAATACAACAAAGAATGTCCACCATACTCTAAAAATAACATGTTATAAAAATTAATATACAAGTTTTATTACAATTTATACAATATTAATTTGTATATATTAACATAATTATGATAATTTACTTATGTGTTGGTAAGGCACAACCAAGTATGATAAATGTCATACCAATAGAGCCAGCAAATGCCAAAAGTACTAATCTGCAAAAGGATTCTTTTTTTATTATACTGTTAATTAAAACATAAGTTTCTTATAAATTATAATACTTACGCTGTTTGTTAGTAAAAGCCAACCATAGCATGAAACAAAGACAAAATTATTTTACAAATTATATAAACTACAACTTATATAAATAAATAAATAAATAATTTCATCTCACACAATTATTATGAAAACTAATAAGGAAAATATTTAAAAAATTTCAGAAACGTGTTGATTGATCTATATAATACAAAAATTTGTATAAATGTGAATGATAATTTGAACATATATTTCAGTGTGAAAAATACATTACATTTCTATATTCTATACATGATTAAGATATAACATATCTTATAACTTTAGCAACTTTTATGCTTATAGAAAATATTTGCAATTTCTCCTTAATAAACATTTGACACAAAGTAAATATTACATTAATAAACAATTTTCAACAAATTATATTCCTATAGATGTATATAAACGATAAACATGTGTCATCTATATACAAAATTTGACAGTAATGACAATAAAAGCAGTAAGGTTATGTTTTGATATATTATTTTTTAATCTAACTTTCTTGTTAAACCTTCACCGGCAATATCATTTTCCTAGATTCTGCAGCAAAAAATTATATATTTATGTGATCAAAAATATGCCGAATAACCTTTAATTCCAGCCATCATACACTGATTTGACAAGTGTATTTATCGTATTCTCACTTTGAGAATGTCGTGACGTAAGCTATCACCAGTGACTATTTGTAGTCAATGCTATCACCTACATAGATGATCAAGTAAATGTAGTATAAATTTAAAAGTAGATAACTTTTTTAAATAAATCTTTATATTTATTACGAATATTATATTAATGTAGCATTAGTCTTTATCTAAAATTGATGAATGTCTAATGTAAATCAATGTTTTCAAAAATGTTATATTTAAATTCGTTATAAAAAAAAAATAAACAAATATTTATATTTATATATGGACATTAATTACATAAAAAATAATAATAACTGGGAATTTATTTAAATTAATGCAAGTTTTATGTACTCCGTTCCACAAGAGAATAATCCTTGAAAGTTATTTTTGCACACATTAAGTTTATCGATTCTAAATATTCTATAGTCTATGATGATGCGCATGTGCTTTCACGACCACCGCCACATTAAATGAATATATCCAACGGGCAGAAAATTTGTTATTTCCTCTTCTTGTTTGAAATACTTGTCTTTCTATACTAACATACTTTATAATGATACCGAAGCTAAAGCTTTGTTCCTCTTCATAGGAAATTTTTCTTGAAAAATTTACCACATTATTATCAACTCTCGTTCATTTATTTTTCCCACCACGTATATAGCCATGAACGCAGAAACATAGACAGATATTGCACTTGTAATCAGAAATTTAACAAGACTGTCAAGCTGCGCAAATTATGCTTACTCTCTCACGAAATCAAATATAATGCATATATAATTATGTTCACAGAATTTAAAAAATAATTGAACAACTTAAATTTCTTCCATACAAAATAAATAATAATAATTTAAGTATTTTCGAAAATTCATTTGTAAATTCTCCTTTAATTTTCGATAATGGGAAGTCCAATGTAAGCCATGGAAGTTCAAATGAAAAATGTTCATTGGATCAACTGTGAGTGTAGCTGAATTGAAGGTGTTGCGATAGTGAATTCTGATCATTGCGTGTGCATTTTCTTTTGCGTTGAAATCAAGTCAATAATGAGCGATCCAAAAAGGTAAATTGTTTGTAGAAAGTAGTTAGTTAATTAATATGTACAATAATTTCATATATATTACTTTTAAATGCATGAACGAGGCATGAAAATAAGATGCAACCATACTGGCTTCCAATTTTACGTTGTCATCATGTCGACGCAACGCGTCTTTTCGTAAATTCTAATGAAAATAAATAATATGTTTTAAATTTTATACTACAAAGTATAACTTTTCCTTGTAAATTAACATATTTTTTAGGTAACTACTTGTAATAACATAAATAATACTTCTGATTTTTATATGCCGACTGATCATGGCTGAGTCTGCTCTGAACGTGACAAAGAAATTTTGCTGACACGTTAATATTCGCTTTGCATTATAATTTATACTGAATTTATAAGAAAGTTTTGATAATGATTAAAGTCAAGTAATTCAAATGTTGCAGATATTCCATACATGAAATAATTAAATATTCATGTTTTTGAATATTTAGAAAATTAAACCATGTGTTACAATTGTATATTTAGTTTCTAAATACTGTTGTTCTTAAATAATTATTCCCTTGTAAATAATAGCATATAAAGTATACAAGTATACATGTATGTTTAACATATCAAATGATATCTTGTAAGATACCCAAATAATACACAAAATATAAAAAACAATATATTAAAATTATTTTCTTCACAAAATTATTAATATTTTGTATAATAGCATATAACTATTTGAATTTAATAATAGTATATATTAAAAAAAAATGTTTTCTAGTATACCTAATTGTTTAATATAAAATTTATATTGATATAAATAATATATGTTGTTAATTGTTACAAATACTTGTCATAGTCTTAGTAATTTTGTAAGCGAACATTATAATATAAAATTGTTTTGTTAATATTTGTTATCTTTCACTAAAAACTTTAATTTACTCTTTATGTAGACATAGCATCGAGTAATTTATACTTTTGCCATTGAAGAAGTATTTCTAACATAATAAAAAGTGATTAATTTCAGAGATATTAAAAGCAATTATTACTAAATATTATTCTCATATAATAATGATTAGAATTAGAAAACTTTGATTTGTGTATGAATAAATATAATATATTTTGTACAAAATACAATGAGTTTAAATCTTATTGTTTGTTATGTAAACAATGAATGAAATACTTTAAATAAAAGATACCAAATAGCCTATATGTTAATTGATATTTAATATTTAATTGCAAATAACATTAAAAAACATATGTTATTATAAAATAATATTTCATTGAACACATCATCTAATATAATATATAAAATTAGTAAATTTGGAGAGCAGTATTAATATTTATTTGAGAGTTATTCCATCTATATTAATCACATACCTTGTTTTAGCAGTGAAGACCTGGCAACTGCAATCCTTCGAAAGAAGGATAAGCCAAATCGATTGTTAGTAGATGAAGCCATTGCAGATGATAATTCTGTTGTGGCTCTTTCTCAAGCAAAAATGGACGAATTACAACTTTTCCGAGGAGATACTGTATTATTAAAAGGAAAAAGACGCAAAGAAACAGTATGCATTGTTCTCTCTGATGATACCTGCCCCGATGAAAAAATTCGTATGAATCGTGTCATAAGAAACAACTTACGTGTACGCTTAAGTGATGTTGTATCTGTACAAGCTTGTCCAGAAGTTAAATATGGAAAACGTATTCATGTATTACCAATGGATGATACAATAACTGGTCTCACTGGGTAAAAATCAATTATTTTTAATAGTGATTTTATTACTTTCTGATATGTGTATTCCATATAAATATATAAAATTTATTCTTTAAACTTTTAAATCAACTTAAACTATTAGATGATACATAATACAGCTATTTATTTTTTATTATAGAAATTTATTTGAAGTTTACTTAAAACCATATTTCCTGGAAGCTTACCGCCCAATTCATAAAGATGACAATTTCATTGTACGTGGTGGAATGCGTGCTGTTGAATTTAAGGTGGTAGAAACAGATCCTGGGCCATTTTGCATTGTAGCTCCTGATACTGTAATTCACTGTGAAGGTGATCCCATTAAGAGAGAGGTTAATTGATATTCACTATCTAAGAATGATATTCACTATCTAATATGAAATATATATTACACTATAAATAAAATTATAGGAAGAGGAAGAATCGCTAAATGCTGTAGGTTATGACGATATTGGCGGTGTTCGTAAGCAGTTAGCGCAAATTAAGGAAATGGTAGAATTACCTTTAAAGCATCCTTCCTTGTTTAAAGCTATTGGAGTTAAACCTCCTCGTGGTATCCTTTTATATGGTCCACCTGGCACGGGAAAGACTCTTATTGCTCGTGCTGTTGCTAATGAAACAGGAGCATTCTTCTTTCTTATTAATGGTATGTTACTTTTAAAAACTATATTTTAATTTAAAATGTTATTCTATTTATCTTGTTGGTAGGTCCTGAAATTATGAGTAAACTTGCTGGAGAATCGGAAAGTAATTTAAGAAAAGCATTTGAAGAAGCTGAAAAAAATTCTCCAGCTATAATTTTCATTGATGAACTTGATGCCATTGCTCCTAAAAGAGAAAAGGTTTGATATGATTTATTTATTAATTTATCATTTTAAAAAATTTTTATATAATTAATACTATATTTTTATTCAGACACATGGAGAAGTTGAAAGACGTATAGTTTCTCAGTTATTAACTTTGATGGATGGTATGAAACAAAGCTCTCATGTCATTGTAATGGCCGCTACTAATCGACCCAATAGTATTGATCCTGCATTACGACGTTTTGGTCGTTTTGATAAAGAAATTGATATTGGTATACCTGATGCCACTGGCCGTTTAGAAATTTTAAGAATTCACACGAAAAACATGAAACTTGCCGACGATGTTGAATTAGAAGAGGTGAATATAAATATCACTTTTAAACCTATTGTACTTTTGACTTTAGCACTATTTAATAAATTAATACAACTATTTAGATCGCAGCAGAAACACATGGTCACGTTGGAGCTGATTTGGCATCATTATGCTCTGAGGCAGCTTTACAACAAATTCGTGAAAAAATGGATCTTATTGATTTAGAAGAAGAGCACATAGATGCTGAAGTTCTATCTTCTCTTGCCGTAACTATGGATAACTTCAAAGTAAATATTAATTTTTGCTTAGTAAGATCTAAGTTACGTTTACAGAAATCTGTTACTAACAATACTTTACATATTATCACTTAGTATGCCATGACAAAGAGCAGTCCAAGTGCTTTACGAGAAACCATTGTAGAAGTACCGACTGTCACATGGGATGATATTGGAGGTTTACAGAACGTTAAAATGGAGTTACAAGAATTAGTGCAGGTAAATATTGAAGTATCATTTACAATAATTAAATACCGAGTTATATATACATTATTGAATAAATTTTATTATGTAGTATCCAGTCGAACATCCAGATAAATTCTTGAAATTTGGTATGCAACCATCGAGAGGGGTATTATTCTATGGACCTCCTGGTTGCGGTAAGACATTATTGGCTAAAGCGATTGCTAATGAATGTCAGGCAAATTTCATTTCTGTAAAGGGACCAGAATTATTAACAATGTGGTTTGGTGAGTCTGAAGCAAATGTCAGGGATGTTTTTGACAAGGTAAGTTATTTAATAAGTAGTTACAGATCAAAATATGAGTGCTTTATGTATTGTCTTATTACACCTTTAGGCAAGATCAGCAGCACCTTGCGTATTATTTTTTGATGAACTTGATTCTATCGCAAAATCTCGTGGAGGTACAGTAGGAGATGCTGGCGGAGCAGCGGATCGCGTGATAAATCAAATCTTAACAGAAATGGACGGAATGGGCGCGAAAAAAAATGTTTTCATTATAGGCGCTACTAATCGTCCTGACATTATAGATCCAGCCATTTTACGTCCTGGTCGATTAGACCAATTGATCTACATACCATTGCCAGATGAAAAATCTCGAGAAGCAATTTTTAGAGCCAATCTTCGAAAATCACCAGTAGCTAAGGTAAAAAAGATTAAATATGTTTACTATTGATGTATCTATCAAGAAATAAAGCTTAATTTACAGTGATTTTAGCATACTAAGCGATCATAAGCATTTATAACTACTTCTAGTATTTTTGTAGCTACTTCTAACTTCTTTTTTCAACAATTCTACTAGACCCCCTGACCTTTTGTCTTTTTATATTTACCGTCTAAATATACTATTAATATTTGTATTGCAGGATGTAGATCTAAGCTATATAGCTAAAGTGACACATGGTTTCTCGGGTGCTGATATAACAGAAATTTGTCAACGTGCATGTAAACTTGCCATTAGACAAAGTATTGAAACTGAAATTCGAAGAGAAAAAGAACGTGCTAGTAATCCATCTACGTCTATGGATGTGAGTAATTTTTTATATTTTGCATAACAACAGATGTACTCCTCTTGTTCAATTGTTTATGGCGTTTAAACTCTTTTTTTTCTAAGTTGTATCACTTCTGTAATATGGTTAATAATTAATCCCATTCTTTTAATCATAAGTTTTATATCCAATGCTTAGATGGATGAAGATGATCCAGTACCCGAAATAACAAGAGCTCACTTCGAAGAAGCAATGAGGTTTGCACGACGTTCGGTATCTGATAATGATATCAGAAAATATGAAATGTTTGCACAAACACTTCAACAATCTCGTGGATTTGGAAGTAATTTCAGGTAAAAAGTTATACTTATGTTAATAATGAATAATAGTTCTTCAGTTTGAAAAGTGAAATTCTTATGACTACAGACAGCATGCTCATCGTCTATACCTGTCTATATGTTCTTTGGTTAGCATTTGATCTGTCTAACCCTATTACATACGATTGAATATTTTGTTTACAACTCAACAACTTTATGTATATCATTCTGTTTCTTAGATTTTAAATTAATTTTTATTTTTGTAGATTTCCGCAAAGCGGAACAAGTGGTACCCAAGATACAACGCAAGGTGATCAAACCTTCCAAGATGATGGGGACGATGATCTTTACAGCTAAGTTGTCATATCTTTGTACCTCATTACAGTGAACATGCGACAAAAGGGCCTGTCTGTTTCACAAGTATCTTGTGTTTGTAAACACAAATTTCGCAAAAAGTAATTTTAAGTAATTGAATAATGTAAGAGTATATAAATTTTATTCATCTTCGATATTCTATGTAAGTATATGCAATTTAACGTATGTAATTGGGGTAGATTATAATTAAATTGTATTGAGCGTATATAAAGATCTAATCAGGTACCACTTTTAATATAACATTCTTTTTCAACGTGTAACGTGCAAGTAAAGTCTTTAAAATTGTATAAGTTTGCTTAAAAGCAATGTACTAATAGTCGACTATTATACAAATTAAATTTTAAAACTAAACACTTATAATAGATGGAACCCAATTAAATTAGTTGTAGATTGTAACATGTATAAACTACCCTAATAAATATGTCACATTGTATATAAATTACATAGAATTATACGAATGTTCCGTTGTTTATAACATTTTCTATGTAATTTTATATCTTAGTTACCTACATAAAATGTAATTCTTACTCTGTAACAGTGTTATCATATTTTTTTTCTATGTTAATTAGAGATAGACTCTTTTGCTATGTTGTCACTGTATTTCTATAATTACATCTTATTGTTCACACACTGAGATTACAGTAATATGTGAGAGTTTATGCTATATCAGTGAAATTGTTGAAACTGGTGATGTGTATTGGTGAATTTGCAGTCTGCTTGTAGTAGTAAATTTACTTACAAATTACCAAAGAATCTTTTGAAACCTTTCATTTTAGAATAAAGTGTTAACATTTCTACATCTTGGGTACACCTTAACAGCCATTTCATTTGAAGGCTTAATTATCCGTTATTAAACTATAAGTAATAAATATCAAGATATTGACCAATAAAATTGTTTATTGCAGCTTTATTTATACAACACTTACAAATTTTGGTATTAGTTGAAAAATACAAAGTTCTTAGTTAAAACAATATTGATTTTCAACTATACATTTCTATGAACATGTATTAAAATATTTACATACACGTTAAAACAAAATCGGATGAAAAAGTCGAATTTTTTGAAAGTAATATTTTATTAAATTGAATGTTACATCTAAAATTAAGTTATCTAATAGTATTTTTCAATTTGACTTTTTAGAATTCATTTTTTGTTATTCAAAAATGTTTGTTACCGTAAATTTTTTTAATCTCATCGCAATTTTGTAATAATCCGATTTTATCATATAATCCGAATTTTACAAAACGTGAAAATAATAATTGACGAATTCAATATAAATTACAAAATGAATAAAAAATATTGTCATAATACAATATTTTATTGTACAAAAATTTATCATTATTAGTGCAATCGGAAAGTCCTGTTGTTTAACATACTATCATTGTTAAAAATTATTTGCTAAATAAGATATTACGGTTACGTTAATACAAAAATTAGCAAAAAATACATTACAGATCATAATATTTGCATATTTTACAATTATGTTATTTTTAAAAATAATATTATGGTTTTAACTAAAACACAAAAATTAATATGTAATTATATGTTGTCAGCATCCCTCAGAATTACATGTACAAGTAAGTAAACATTTTATCACAATATAATTTTAAAACTGCCAACATAGAAAAGTTTCAGATCAAAATATATATCGATTTTTTTATTTTATTCATTTTGCTTTAATTAGAATTAGAAAAGACTAAAATCATTGTGAATAAGAAAAAAAATAAGGGTTACAGACAACACACATTTTAATATTTAACACATGATTTGTTTCTTTCATTATAAATTTTTATATAAATACGGTATTTTGAAAATTTTCTTTAACATTTTTTCTATCATTTGGAAACGAAGAAAATATAGAGAGCAATCAAAGTGCATGAATAAGTGAAACTAATTGTCACAATGAAAGGAAATAAAAATAAGACCAAAATACAAAAAAATGAACTATAATTATATAATTCCACAAATGCCACATATTCTATATCATTGTACGTAACACATGTAATACGTAATTTTTAAATTAACCAATATTATACACACAAAAAAATTACAAACAATGTAGAATGAATTTGTACGTGACAAAATATCTGTTGTTTATTGAAGAATGACATTAATAATTTGACAAATTAATCCAATAGTAAATTTTACACGTACAATTAAATATTTTATATATATATATATATATAAAAAAAAATATATATATAATTCAATCCTTACTAGAAGAAAGTGTTTGGAGTATATAACTATATGTAGACAACAACTACAGTTCATTATGCGTTTTACATTATACAATGGGATAAAGTATAATAATAATCGCAAATGGATTAACATTTTTTTTTTATTCAATATAATTTGCTTAAAGAAATAATAGCTCAACTATTCTATCTTTTTTTTTGTTTTTCAAAATATCTACTTATATATATTTTGTGTTCAAAACTCAATACAATTTAAAATATAACAAGAAATTCATTTTAGTTTGCATATTTATATAAATCTAGTTTCATTTTTCATTCTACTGAGTTAACTTATGTAAAAAAAGAAAAAGAAAAAATTATAATGATGAAATATCACAATTATCTCAGAATATTTAATTTTTGAAAAAATTTCTCAAAACCTTGTATTTTACTTTTTACAAAATTTCAACTTGTGATTTTCCCGTTCTTTTACACTGTATCATAAAAGAATATGATATTTTATTAGTTATCGAACACAGAAGATGAAAATATAATTACAGTATACAGCAATCCAATGTTTCAGACATTTAATACAATGAGTATCGTGTGTTACAAATAATCTTTGTTTTGTCTGTCAATGACATATCTAGAATATGCAGTATTTATTGTATTTATGTTTTAATTCACAGTAAAAATACTTAAACGTCTACATATTGTTTTATGTATGTTTACGTCAAACATTTTTGCTAAATATTTTCAAGTATATTTTAGCTTGAGCTTATTGATTTTTTTTTTTTTTTTTTTTTAAAGCATCGCAGTAATCTTTATTTATCATTGAATTGCTACATGCTCTAAAACAAACTTTATGCTCTTCAATAATGATTATGTTCTAGTATAAAATACTGATTTGGAAAAAATGTAATATAAACAAAAGTATTGTGGATAGTCTTTTTTAAAATATCGATTTCAGATACAATATGAACACTAAACACATGCTAATTTTGGCGTTAATTATGTAATTTATACAATTTCATTAATGTGTGTTTGTTATCATTTTTTCATTACAAAATAATCGTTGCTTTCCTGCATCTGCAACGTTTTCCATATAATAACTAGAAACTTATTTCAACCTGTATTTTAGTGTCTTTAATTTCGATCACTGCTGTATGTAATTCATCTTCATCTGTAATTTTTGATATGCATGAATCATTACACTCAATCCGTTCTTTGCGTAACAGGTGGAAATTCAGCATCGTCTTTCAAACGGAATGAACCCGAAAATCGTGGTGGACTCTCAGTAGCCGCTATCATCTCATGATACTTCTCTGACTCTATAAATCCATTCACGTACATATTTCAATTATAATTATTTAGACTAATTATTACTTTAAGCGGATGTAACGATAAAGATGTATGAAATTGGAATCCAATGATACACATTACTTTTTGTACTAAAGCAGGGATTCCCAAAGTCTGGATTTCCCGAGCTGATTTTGAATGGGTCGCGTTAAATATTAAAATATTTATAAAAATAAATGTTGAAGTTACAAAGCAATATTATTTATCCAACCTACCACTCCATTTAAATGGGACCTTGGAACATTAAAACTTTGAACATGTAGGACTTAAAACTTTGGACTTGTAGGACTGTGGAATTTTAGAATTTATGGACTTCGAAATTTTTGAATTTTAGGACTTTCAAAAATAATTAATTACGAGCAAGTGAGTCTTAGTCCATCACAATTACTGTGATATAATTAAAGCTTATTGAAGTACAATATAATCAAAATACTTAAAAATTTAAATTTTTGTAACATTCGATATTGTAAGATGTAAAAAGTAGATTCAAAATATTATTAAATGTTATGTAACACAAAATTGCAAATGATTTTACTGTTTACAAAAAACTTACTTTTTCATTCTCATTCATTCAACAAATATAAATATAATAAACTTTAATACAGTAATCATATTATTAATGAATATAATGCTTCCTATCAAAATAAAATATACATAAAACATTTTATAGTAAATTAAATAATATTAATTGCGTATTCATATTATTAATATTATATTTAATAAAAAGAAATCACCATTTATAAATATTTGCTTAGTATAAATATTTTATCATTACATTTTATATTTTTAAGAAAACAAAAGCCTAAGGAACTTCTATTATAATAATGTGGAGTGTACAAAATTATTACACCTTAAAACGTTCATCATATAATTTGTACAATTTTAAATTAATGCATTTTACTATTATTCTATGAGAAACATTAATATTTGAAATCCTTCCATTTGTGTTTATCAATCACATCGTAAAATAATTATTTCATAAAACAATTAGCAGTAAACATAAAGTTTAAAAGTATGCAGACTTTAATTTAATTCTTCTTTAAAATAGTAATAAAAATGTTACTCTGTGATGTTAATTTGATAGTATTGTAAATATATGTGCATTGTCGTTATTAAACTTAAATAATTGCATGTATATTAAAAGTTTAGTGCACCCACACAATATAAGAATATATTTATTATTAGTTGTTACTCTCATTCTTTCTTCTCTATACCTATGGAAATAAACGTATATTAAAAAATAAAAGAGGTATAGAAAAAGTATAATAGCAGAATTTTTTAAATGGAATGAATGCATATGGAGAATGAGAATGTAAGTAAAAAGCGAGGGACAGAATAGAGGATATACCAGTACCTGACATGGAGTCTGGCGAGCGGCCGCGCAACACACCCGCGTAGCTATTTATGCAGGCTTCAGTGGATAATAAAAAGAAAAAATTACGTCAAGTAAGGTCAATAGCTGGGGCCCCCCTTTAGCCCCTGAAGAAATTACTTATATAATTGTAAGGGGTTAGAAACAAGGATAAAGAAAATATAACGTATATAATAAAAATTGATGAATAATAGCAACACAAGAGATTAGATAAATACTACTTGTTTGATCTTACAATCAAACTTTATTAATACAAAGGTACAAAAAAAATAAAGAAACAAATAGAAAATTACAATTAAACATAATTTTATCATTGAGTCAAGCATACTAAGAACATTGTTTTTAATGAAAGTAATGAAGTATAATGTGTTTAAAAATTCGTATTTATAGAATTCTAATTAATTATTATATACCTTTGTTGCTAAAATTTGACAATAACAATAGACAGTGATACCAGAATTATGACCTGACATATTTTATCTTACATGATAATATATTTCAGAAATCAAATTGTACCGAATAATAAACTTACACTCTTCTTTGTTAGCTACTTCTTTTTCTAATATTCTGATAATATCCAGCATTAGTGAAAAGTCATTATTTGTATATATTCTAATATTTAGATATATTTAAAATAAATATTTAGTATTTAAACAAAAAATACATAGAGCTCATAAATACTTTTAGACAAATATTTGGTGATTTACATATTTAATAAAAAACCTATTCAAAACAGGTAATATTAATATGAAATAATGAACAACTCTAATGTGGTATCAGCTAATAGAGCAAAAATAACTAAAAGTATAAAAGTTTATGAATTTCATATTCTCAAGATAACTTGAAGTTTCAAAAAATTATATATATACGTATTTATTTTTGATTAATGCATAAAATAAAAATTATCATTTAGTAACTGAATATTTCAAAATTACTGGTAATGATGTATACATTTAACAAATATTAACATGCAAATGTATCAAGAATTGTTAATTGTTTGATATTCACATTTGAAATTAATGAATATCGGTAAAATACCAGATTATGTGAATGATATCCGATTGAAGCTAAGAATATGGGTAATATTTTCATCTGTGGATTGTGGATCACTACTCATTGATATTAATATTGAACGAGAAAAAAATTGATGAAATTGTATAAAAAAATATAATTCAATATAATCCTCAATGTAAAAGGATATTTATGCAGTATTCATTTATATTCATGTTTGTACATACAAATTAAATGTAATATATTATATGATACAGTAAATTTATCAAATTAAAACTATATTTATATGATCTATATATAATAAATATTAAAACTTTATATAATAAAAGATGTAAGAAAATTTATATTTCCAAAATTAAACGATTAAATAATCACCTGTTTTTGTAAATTTACAATTCGTTTACAATTTTTAGATATAAAAATTACATTATATAAAAATAAATGCATATCTACATTAACAAAATATAAAATCATTTATATGTATATCAGTCATGACTTATGTCTCCTATTTATGTACGTAAATATTGTGTGTGTCAGTGTTGACATGTCTTAAAAAACAGAGAAAATAATGTTAAATTTAGTCTATAAATGATTTACATTTTAACGTTTAAAAATTATTTAGCGTCTTTCAATTTCGAAATTCAACTTTTTTTTTAACCAAAACATTTGACGTTAATGTGACCATTTTAATGTGCTAGTTTTTTGTATATGATATATCTTTATCGTCAACTCGCTCGGTTATAAAACCTAAATTATATTTGGTATATTAAAATATCTATGATATTGTCATACCTGTATTTTGTACTATTCGTGTAGTAGTTGTTCCTGCAGGAGTTTCTCCAGATCCTAACCCAGCTGTAGACACACTAGCACAATCTACTTCGTCCCGTTTGCCATCTAATCTGTAAATACAAATTATTTATACAATTAATAGAAAGAGCTAGGAACAATTTAAATAAGGTATAGAAAATAAAAATATAAAATTATTTCTTGTTTTTTAAATTCAGAATACAATACTACCTGCAACACAAATTATTTGAATGTTATATTTTATTTATATAATTTTCAAAAATACAAACCTATGCTGTTTAAGCAATGTACAATCTCCACCTTCTGTTGTATCCAAGTTGTAAACATACAGATATCCATCAGCACTAGCCACCAACAGCCTAAGTACTTTGTGTATTCTACGTGACAAAATATGTTTTAGAAAAGAACATATGTGTGTAATATTTATAAGCACTACTTTACTGAAACTTACACTGTAATAGCACAAACATTTTTTAACCCTTGGAATGGTAAATGGACACTCGCAAAGGCACGTCCTTGGTTAAAAACATCAGTTACTTGGGAAGGTAAATAATTAGCGGATGCACACATTGCTTTGGTTAGATATGTCATCCAAGTTTGGGATTCATCCGTTGTTTGTCGTAGCCTGTAATGATGAAATAGAATTCAGATATATTAAAAATTTTACCACAACAGTCAAGAGTAAAGTACATACGCTTCCTTCGGTTCTTCCAACTTGAAAATATGCACCGTTTCTGTATTACTCGAACAACAAAGGAACATAGAATCCATACTAAAAGCAAGACTGCTTATAGATACGCATCGCTTAACTCCTCGCCGAAACTCAAATAGTTTTGTACCATCATGAACCTTCAGAGATATAAACAACCTTCAGCAATGCATCTAAATTTAAGAACTGAATAAACAATTAGTACCATATGAATTATTAAACTTACATGAAAAACTCTAATTACAGTACCCTTCTCAGAAGCCGTAGCTACTTTGGTACCATTTGGACTAAATGCGAGTGCTGCCAATGGACTATCGTGTGCAGGAATCATAGTTTTTGCTTGCTGGAAATAAACATACACACATATATATATATATATATA